AAAAAAACATGTTTGTATCATAAGATTCTTTTATGCCCTGATCATTTTCATGTACATTCAGAAGATGTGTGTGGGAGCATCATCAAAAACTCATGTGAGAAGAGAGAGGGCAAATAAAAAAAGCCAGAGGGACCTAGTACAGTGCCAAAAGAAATGCACACACAGAACTATTATTTCAAAATTTGTTAAAGGTTAGTCACAAGGCTGAGCAACTGGAGAATTATTGATACTGAAGGGGGAAATATATTTAATACATGCTCGGGCAGGTCGCATGATGGGGTATAAATTAATACTGCTATTATTACTTCTTTTGAATTGAGTGTATAATATGTGACAAGCATTAAATTGTCCTAAATAAAGTAGAATTCACCACAAAACTGAAATTGTGGCATCATTTACTCACATTTTTGACATTCTCAAATTGTAATTTAATTTAATTTCAAATTGTATTTATTTATTTATTGGCAGAAACCTAAGAAGCTATTTTAAGGTCTTCAATTGTGAGAACTATGCAAGAAAAATATGCAGTAAATTATAGTAAATATTATAGTGGTTTTAAACCAAGTAAAGTGTATATAGTATATTGTAAAGTGTGTTAAACTGTAAAATTACAGTATTTACAACTCTTTGTTAAGTAATGTTAAAGCAAACTGTAGCAATTATAAAAAATATTTATTTGTACTATAGTAAATTATGGTTTATTGAAGCCTAATGTACCATATAGAAAACAGTCTATACAGTATATAGTATATAAAATTATTTTACCTCGGCAACAACAGATTTACCATAACAGATTTATTCAAGTACTTTACAGTACACATTTAATATGCATTACTATAGTATCACATTTACCTGTTTTAGTTTACCAAAGAAAAAGAAAGTCATTTATGTTTTGAAGGATTTAAAGAAGAGATAGATGACAGAATATTAATTTTTGGTTATCTATCCCTTAAAGGCCTCGAAGACCACTGAAGCATAACTAATGTTTAAAGGCTTGCGGTCACGTGAGAGCTTGAACAGCAGTGCTAATTCACACAGTAGGACATTCAGAAATGTAAAATTTAGCAATTCAGTCACAGTTCATGTGCTGATTTCAGAGTGTGATGAGCATGATGGAATGCTGGCAATATGTGGGATCAGGAGGTTCACTATTATCGTCACAATCATATTAGTCGTCTCTGTGTAGAACAGAGATAGTAACAGAACTAGAAGAATCAATCTCTGGTTTCCTGTACTTAACCTATAGCATATGACTAACAACCCAAACAGTTCACGTAAAGCTTCATGCAAAGATTTGGAGTTTTGACGCAACTTTAAAGGGATAGTTCACTCATAAAATGAAAAATCTGTCATCATTTATTAATTTTCCTTGAACCGCCAACAATTCTGGCATATGTTTTACACAACGGATGCCCTTCCAGCCACAACTTAGCACTAGGAAACATTTATACACTCTCACATTCACTCTTACACACTAAGGCCAACTTACTGTAGTTTATTCAATTCATATAGCGCATGTCTTTGGACTGTGGGGAAAACCAGAGCAACTGGAGGAAACCCATGCAAACACGGGGAGAACATGCAAACTCCAAACAGAAGTGCCAACTGGCCCAACCGGGACTCAAACCATCTGCCTTATTGCTGTGTGGAGATAGTGTTAAGCGAAACTGTGCCACCTTGTCATCATTTACTCATCTTTAATTTGTTTCAAATGTGCTGACTTTCGTATTTTTGTTCCTGCTATATGTCATGGGTGTTTTTCCCCAACATTCTTCAAAGTATCTTGTTTTGTATTCAACAGAATAAAAAGAAATTGATAAACCTTTAGAACCCCTTGAGGAAGTAGTGAACAAATGAGGAAAATATTAATTTTTGCGTCAACTATACCTTTAAAACTTGATAATAGAGTTAAAATTTCATAAATAAATAAAACAAAATACATTCAACTGCCTATTCACACAAATATCTAATCAGTCAATTAAATAGCAGCAACCCAAGAGATTTAAGCATGTTTGGTCAATTTGACCTACTTAATTTTAAACCAAGCAACAGAATCATAAAGAAATGCAATTTCCATTTCATTAAAAATATTTTCTTGGAAAAAAAGGTGGGCTATTGGGCTTTTGTGGCCAAAAATGGCAATACGTTGTAGTGCTTATAATAAACGCACAAACTGATCTGACATGAAAGTGAAGACACTGGTGAAAAAAAAAATGTTGCTGGAGGACGAGGGAGCTCTCGACTTTAATTTCCCAGGGGATTAGAATGACCAACACAATCTCACAGCAATACATAACTTTTTAAATTTTCTAATTTGTATGAATTTGTATGATCTTATTCATACAATTTAGTTTGATTTGCTTATCCCCCAATGATAGTTGGGTTTAGGGGTAGGGTTGGGTGCCACGCCTCCTTTTTAAAATCATACATTTTCGTATGACTGAACTCGAATTACTCGATCTGCGAATAAGCCACTAAATTTGCAAAATATAAAATATATATATATATATATATATATATATATATATATATATATATATATATATATATATATATATATTTTTTTTTTTTTTTTTTTTTTTTTGTAAGATCAGGCTGGAATGACATAAGGGGGAGTATTTAATGACAGCATTTTTATTTTGTGTGAACTAACTCCTTAAATACCCACCTCTTACAACTAAGGTTTAGCAAAAGAGCTTCTCTGAACATGTCAAAGTCAAACCTTGAAGCACATGAGCTACAGCAGCAGAAGAGACAGCAGTGCATTTCCCGTCAGATAGAAACAGAAATGGAAATGGAAGATATTAGCCTGATCAAGTCGATTTCTATGACATTTCGACGGTTAGTCAGAATTTGTCATAAACAACATGAAAGCATGGATTTTCATGCATTATATCAATGGTTCAAACTGCTGATAGTGTTGTAAAAGTGTGGGGATAATTTTCTGGCACACTTTGGGTCAATGTAGTACCAAATGAGCATAGTTTGTATCCTCAACTTATTCATTTAATGTTCAATACTCCTAAATTTGTAAAAACAATTAGTTTTTAACTTAAACTATTTATTTTGGGACAACATAAAGGAATTTAATTTACAGTTTTGAATGGAGACATTTTTACAGTGTCTTACTATGCCCATCGCTTTATGACCACAGTGTACCCATATTGTGATGGCTACTTTCAGCATGAAACACACCATTACAAACTCAAATATCTCAAACTGGTTTCTTAAACATTATGAAGAGTTCACGATTCTCAAATAGCTTTCAAATTCACCAGATCGGAATCATGTAGAGCATCTTATATAAGATTCACATCATGGATGTATGGGCAACAAATCTGCAGCAACTGTGTGATGCTGTCATCTCTAAATGGACCAAAAGGTTTCACTTTGTCATGGAGAATTTAAAAAGGCAAAAATGGGTACAGTAACCTGGAAAGATGTAAAGTGACCGGTATGTTATTTAGTGTCTTTTCTTCAAAGTTTACTGTTGGATTAATCTGTTGAGGTAATTATACAGTTGCTGTGGTAACCACCCTGCAGAAAAACAGCTTAAAACAGCCTAGGCTGGTTGGCTGGTTAACCAAGCTGATTTAGAGGGTTTTTGGCCATTCCAGGCTGGTTTCCAACCATTTCAAGCCTGGTCTTAGCTGGTCAGGCTGGGAGATGACCAGCTAAATCCAGCTTGAACAGCAGCCAGGCTGGGAGCCCTGCTAAAACCAGCTATGTCCAGCTTATACCAGGCTGGTCAAGCTGCATGTTTTAGCTTGTTTGGGCTCGTCATTTTCCAGCCTGACTGGAAAATGACTGGAAACCAGCCTGGGAATGGTCAAAACCCCTCTAAAACCAGCCTGGTTGATCAGCTAAAACCAGCCAACCAGCCTAGGCTGGTTTAAGCTGTTTTTTTTTTCAGTAGGGTATACAGCAAGTTAGCAACTATAGTAAAAAAAAAATCCCTAATACTGTACTGTTTTCTACAGCTGTATTATATTGCAATACACCACAGTAAAAACTGAAGTATAGTAGGGCCTACAGTATTTATTAATTTACCAGTTCACAATAGTTAATACCACAGTATGATGCAGCATTAATAAACAAATGGTAAAATATACTTAACTGTAATAAGTTCAAAAGCAATATAGTATATACTATAAGTTACAATAGTGGGCTATTTTTTCCTTGTAGACATAGAACATTTCAGGGCCGTGCAGAGACCATCCAAAGGGCATGTGCAGGAGAAATTTTTTGAAGAGCGGGGGGGGAGATGGGGGTTGTTGGTGTTGCGCGCGTTTTGAAGAGCGGGAGGGGGGGGGGGGGTGGTGGTGGGAGTTGTTGCGCGCGTACTGAAGAGCGGGGGGGGGGGGGGTGGGGTGGGGGGGTTGTTGTTGTTGCGCGCGTTCTGAAGAGCGGGGGGGGGGGGTGGATAGGTTGTTGTTGCGCGCGTTCTGAAGAGCGGTGTTGTCGCGCGCCTACTGAAGGGCGGGACCGAGGGTGTGCCGCGTCGCGGGGGCACTTTTGATCATTTTGGAAGGGCACTTTCTATCCAAGACTTAAAAGGGCATGTGCACTGCACAGGTTGAGCCCTATGTGTGCACGTGCCTGGAACATTTACAAAGCGTTTCTACCTTCCGTTCCTCAACCATAATTCGCATGCTGCACAGCTACTCCAAGTATGAAAGAAACAGTTTAACAAATTAAACTTTCTTTAACAATGTGTTCTATATGGTTGATTTTGAATGTAGCCTATCCTTCTGTCCTTCTATATTGGGCAGGTTGTCATCTGAAATGCAGATAATTTGAACAAAGAGTTAAATCACGCGGGTTGTTAACATGTGACAGCGTCAGTCTCACAGCTTGACCCTTTAAAAAGATGAGAAATGCGTGAAGGAGGGGCTTTATTTGACAGGAAAACAGTGATTGGCTGAACATCATGTACTCTCCCGCCTACCTGTTAAATGGAGAAATGTGCAAAACTGAGTTATAAATCAGCACGCCTCCTTTCTGAAAATAACTTGCGCGGGGATGCCGCCGCTATAAAGTTTTAAGGGAAAAAAACAATAGTCTCTCTCATTCGAGTTTTAGTCAAAGAGCTGCTTGCCTTAGCTCATAGATGGCGGAGGAGGTTTTGATAGATCCAGGGAAAACCAGAGGGGTGAGTTGGTTTAATTGAATTATATTATTAGTACTGGTTGTAGTAGTTGCAGTTATTGGTTCGTGCAAATGATGTATAGTGTTTGATAAAGTCTGCTAACGCGGGAAATTTGTGTGGGAGAAAATATTTAGAGTATTATGAAACATGATGGCTTCCGTAGATGAAAAGGCTCTCTTACGTGTCATGAGGCGTCTGTTATTCCTTTGCATTTGCAGGGAGAAGTATTATTTTTTCAACAAACAAAACTCGTCTGCTAAGACTTGTTTACTTGGGGAACCTCTTCAAAAACACATTTAAACACAAATCTAAACCCATGTTACGTGCCTTGGGTTAAAGTGTATTTATTTACAGTACTTAATGTTGTTTTATTTTGACAGATAGCATGCTGTCGGATTTATTTCTTTATTGACTGTGTTTATTTGTTTTCTAAAATAAAAATAGGAAATAATTATTGGTAAACAACATCTCATCTCAGTGTCTCATGAACTTGAGCATTTTCACCCTGCTGAGAAGAAGCACAACAAGCAACTTTAGTTGTTAAACAACTTTTAAATAACACAGCCTTTTCATTCATTTTATTTTGACAGATAGCATATTTTGTAAAATGTTTATCAAGCTGCTGTCTAACTATAGGAAGCTGTCTAGGAATAATTAGCACTAAAAGCTACACATAACCATAATAATAAGAGAGAGGGAGAGGGGGGCTTATCGCTGTCATAGCAAATATGCTGTAATATTGTTGTCAATTTTTGTATGTGGTGGGACCAACTCATAACCCTACCCAAAGTGTTACCCACAGTTGTTCTCAGCCACATTTTTGTAGGCCTATTTTGCATTTCTCTGTCATCCATCACAGCTTATTCAGATAACTTATTAGAAGAGACTTTAGGACTTTAAATGATTGCCATTGTAATATTACACATAAATGTTTGAATAAGCTGCTTTGTAAAAGCTTTTATGAGGGTGCTGGAGTAATATACTGGAATATTTCCCACTGACTGTGAGAATATAAAAAAAAATCTATATAGAGACCAAAACAAATTTAGAGCATAATCACAGCGTAAAGAATTGACTGATTCTGAGCCCTTGGTTGAAATGTCTTGCTCCGTATTATTTTTCTCTGTTTCGCAATGGAGAAAATAAATGGGATTTTTTTTTTCCAGAAATGTATTGCATCTTGTGAACATCTTGTGCCTGATGCAGAGAAAGATCTTTTTCTAAGAACCCTGTGTTCTCTGCTTTGGTCCTGTGACAAGGGGGCTTTTGCCCCACCTATAGTTGTTTCAAGTAGATGGGCGACGCAATGGCGGAGTGGGTAGCACGTTCGCCTCATAGCAAGAGGGTCGCTGGTTTGAACCTTGGCTCAGTTAGTATTCTGTGAGGAGTTTGCATGTTCTCCCTGCGTTCGCGTGGGTTTCCTCCGGGTGCTCGTTTTCCTCCCACAGTCCAAAGACATGCTACAGGTGAATTGGGTAAGCTAAATTGTCCGTAGTGTATGAGTGTGACAGGCCCATACGACAGGCCGGCCGGAAGGTGTAAAAAGTCATTACGATATGGAACTTGTTCCAAAAAGAGCTGACCCCACAATCATATGGGACAAAGGCCAAAGATAAAGAAGAAAATAGTAGTTTCAAGTTGACTATGTTAAAAGGAAGCTGCAATAACCTTTTCAGAATTTATTGTGACATCCAAGCAAAAATGGCTTCAACAAGATGAAATAATACAGAACAAGATGAAAAAAATGTTGTCTGTTGCATTAATGCTTGCTCGTGTTATCAGCAATGTTGGTTATGGCAGTATTTTTCTCAATGGGGATTTTTGTGGGGAGTTGGGGAGTTTTGCTAAGGTATTATATTGTATTAATAAAACTAACTAAGTAGGAGGTGAGTGAAAAATGAAAAATTTACAAGATGAAGGTACAAGATTATGTAGTTATGGATTAAGAATAGCAACACAATTAAAAATGTCAGAAATGTGTGGGTGTGGATAGATAGATAGATAGATAGATAGATAGATAGATAGATAGATAGATAGATAGATATGCATCAGATAAATATTCGTAAATACTGCAATATTCCATCATAAACTGGAATTTTTTTCCACCATTTTTTAGTCATCAGATTTCCACTCATACCACTGTTATGTCAATAATGGTATTATGACTGAAAATGTGAACTAAAGTTTGTAGTTCACATTAAACTTTTTTTAATCTGCAGAGTTTATTTTTTATCGCTAAAGACGCAGAGTGTAAGGTCCCATAAAGCTATTCAAAAGCTACAATAAAACTTTTTTTTGGCAATTGTTGTTAAAAAACTTTAATAATTGTAGCTTGATAAGTCAATATCTTTTATAGACAAACTACTCTTTGCTAGCTACACTACAAGTTACCTCCTAAAAGTAGCTAGTTACATTGAAACTACTTTTGTCATAAAGGCTTATATTTGAAAAAAAAATTGAATAAATGTTAATTTTAAGTAAAATATTTGGTAAAACAGTACAGTGTTTTCAAATTACTAATTTCAAAAGTAAAAGTACAAAACTGCAACAAAGGTAGCATTGCAGCAAAATAATTTACTTAGATTAAGCACATGTATAATGCTTGTTAACAAGCTCTGCTAAATGCTGGAAAACAAATAGCTAGCTTCTGGAAAAGCTACATTGTATCATGACAAGTAGCTGAACTGTTAAGTTTCTATGTAGCAAAGCTAGTAGCAGAGCAACTTGTAACTAGCTATTTCCCCAACTGTTTTTTACATCATATTTATCCCACAGAACTGCTTTCACACATTTAGCAGGTGCTGATATAGTGTTTAGAATTTGGTGCATGTGCAAGGTAATTACTGTAACTCAGTTTGCTGCAAGGAGCACTCGTGCCAGATCTACTCAAGTCCACTTCTGCGCTAATGTGGTCACATGCTTAATGGACCAGTGCCAGACTTTAATACTTAAGAGCCAGTTTACAGTTTATAAACATTATAACATCAATGCTTAGAGTGTGGTGTTGTACTACTGATAGGAAAATATACTTTTTTATACATTGTGTGCAACGTGTAAAATATTACAAATCCTGCTTGTACAGTAGCCAACAGGGTTTAACACTCAAATCAGCTTATAAGGATCATATGTGATTTAAAGAAAGATTTGTTTATATTTATGTAGTTTTCAAGGCATACCAAAACAGCTTCTTTATGAAATTACTTCATATTATAAACAATTAATGCTTAGTAAAAGTGCCAAACTGCTTAGGAACTGTTAAAACTTTAAATGTATTATGTTGTTAATAATGATAATTTAGATGACACCCAGTTGTCTGTCACTTATTTCTCCAGCATCTAACCTCATCCCTGTTGGCAGTAGCATTTCTGTCTTCTTTCGGGAGCTCCATGCTCTATGGTTATAACTTGGCTGTGGTTAATTCTCCCTCACAGGTGAGTGCCTATAATATCATAAACTATTTTTTTTTTTACGCAGCTGGATTAATCACCCACATTTTGTTCTTTTATTTTTTTCTTTTAATTTTTATTGTTGATTAATACAAACTATGACTGATTTGAATAGTAGCATGAGGGCTCTAAATAAAGCAAAACAGTCCTGACTTGATTACAATTGAAGCTTGAAATGTTACATGTTTGTGCCAACAAGTCACGAGTCCAGACTAGAATTATCAAAGCGCATTACAACTGCAACCTATGTTAAGAAACATGAAAACAAGAAGCTAAACATTTAGCCTAATTGCTCATTTAGAGAATTAGTTCACCTAAAAATTACATTTTGCTAATTATTTACTCGTCCTCATGTGGTTCAAAACATTTATGAGTTTCTTTGGTTCTGAACATTTATGAGGTTCTTTATTCTGCTGAATGCAAAATTGGTGGATGAAGTACACACATTAGGCCCTATGAGTGAAATAATAAAATATTACTTCAGCAGAAGGATAAAATCCTTCTTTTTTAAACAAAATGTTACTTGAGTCAAAACTTAAATGGCAAAAGAACATTTTAGTTTATTTAATAGTAAATGTACTCACTGATAAATGTTATTGTGTAAGAAATTTGAATTAAGTAAAACTTAATATATCAGTGCAATGTTAATACGCACACTGATAATTCAAGTAAAAACATGAAACCAGATTAACATTGAACTGCATTTGTATCAGTTTGTAAAATCTGTGACACTGGAGACTCACTCTGAACGAAACATTTGAACCAGTTAGTTGTTGACTTGAGAACAGATGTCAGTCTAATTCACAAATTACTGTTTAGTGCAGTTTGTGAAGTAAATAAACAGGTTAACTGATAAAATTCAGTTTTATCTCATCTCTAAGCAGGTGAGAGTTTCTTCTCTTCAAAATATCCTTTTGCCTTAGCTTAGTAAAAATTATTATATTTTGAAATGAGATTAGATTCAAGATTAGATTCAACTTTATTATCATTAAACATGTACAAGTACAAGGCAACGAAATGCAGTTTAGGTCTAACCAGCAGTGCAATAGCAGCAAGTGCAGGATACAGGTATAAATTATAAAGTGCAGTTGTAGAAAAACCATGGTGATATTTACAGATGGATGTACTCTAAACATTATATGCTGGTTGTATTAGCTATAAACAGAGATTCATAATAGATTAATATATGTACAGTTTGTTTTTAATAATCATATGTGTGCAAATAGAGAAGCATACATACAAATGTATATGTACAGTGGGTATGTACAGTTCAAATGAATGTATCAGTGCAATGTAGTGCAATAAATATGTGCAGTTTTTTTTTTTTTTTTTAAATGTGCAAATGTTAAATAGTGCAGTAATTAGGAGGAGTATAAGTTATGAGGAGAATGTGGGGGTGTATTAGGGAGTCAAAAGAGTCAGTAAGGGGCAGAGATCAAAAGGTCAAAATGTAGTAAAGTAAAAGTTTATTAAAATAAATATACTCTGATAAGGTACAGATACTTAAAATATGTACATAAGTACAAGTGCACAAGTGCATATAACAAAATACTAAATATTAGACCTACTGTCCAACACTGCCTTTAACAACCATTTTAGAAAAAACGAATACTACAGAAATCAATGGTTAGCGGTTTCCAGCTCCCAAAATACTGTTTAACAGATTTAAGAAATTCAATCAGGTTTGGAACAAATGAAGGGTGTGTAAATGATGACAGAAATGTACAGTATGTGATTTATGCTATTAGAAAATGCAGAAATGACAAGATAGAAATATATATTAATGTTAAGCTACACAGGGCTTTTTTCTTGTATTTGTTCTTCTCATAGTACATAAAGGACTTTTTTAATCAAACCATTGTGAGGCGGCATGGGTCAGGAGTGGATGAAGAGACTCTCACACTTATGTATTCATTCACTGTGTCTATATTTGCCATTGGAGGGTTGGTGGGTTCCCTGACAGTGAGGATGCAGGTCACCAGATTTGGAAGGTAGAGTATGCTGTTTATCCACACATTTTTTTCCTATTACACTTAATAAGCACATTTTCTGCACTTTTTTACTCCGTTTCAAAATGTAATGTTCATTTTTATTTCTATAGCACTTTTTACAATGTAGATTGAGTCAAAGCAGCTTAACATAGATGAAGTTCTAGTAAGTTAAAACTGCTTCATTTAATTTGTCAGAGTTGATGTTCAATTCAGTGTAATTCAGTTTAGTGTTATGTAAATGTCACTACTGAAAGGCCAAATACTAAAGAGCAACACCACTGATGTGCAGCCCCACTAGTTCCAACCCAATCAAGCCAGTGGTGACAGTGGTGAGGAACAAACGTCACTAGTTGACGAAAGTAAAGGAAAAAAAACTTGGAGAGAAACCAGGATCAGCCGGATACAACCATGTCTCCTCTGGCCAAATGTCTTGCTGATTGAATGCTTTGTGTGTGTTTGTGATTTGTAGGAAAGGGACACTGGTACACAGCACAGTTTTGGTGTTTATCGCTGGCGTTCTGATGGGCTTCAGCCGGTTATGTGGATCTCCAGAGATGATCATTGTTGGGCGCTTCATCACAGGGATACATTCAGGTCATTCACTATAGAAGAAATTACAGTCCTGTCATCGTTTACTGTTTCTTGTACACCTTACTTGTATAAACGGTTCATTCCACTGGCCACAAGCTGAAGGAAAACAAATTAATTAATATTGCCTAAAGAAAATCATCATAGCCCTTTGAAACAATTACTTAGATTAACATTTTTAACATTTGGATTTATCACAATCCAAACAACTTTTCTTGCCTTTGAAAAGTTTTTGTAGCCTTCTCCTAGCCTGCGCCTTTCTAACTTTATCCCAAAGCTCTTTTGAAAACAAAGTGTAATGTGAGTATAGATGATATTTTCAATAGGCACTTTATAAACACACACATATACACTTTATTAGGTACACCTTACGAGTACCGGGTTGGACCCATTTTTGCTTTCAGAACTGCCTTAATTGCTTTGTGGCATAGATTCAACAAGTACTGGAAATATTGCTCTGAGATTTTGGTCCATATTGACATGATGGCATCACTCAGTTGCTGAGATATGTCAGCTGCACATCCATGATGCAAAACTCCCGTTCCACCACATCCCAAAGGTGTTCAATTGGATTGAGTTCTGGTGACTGTGGAGGCCATTTCAGTACAGTGAACTCAATGTTATGATAAGAAAGCTGTTTGAGATGTTTCATGCTTTATGACATGGCACGTTATCCTATTAAAAGTAGCCATCAGAAGATGGGTACACTGTGATCATAAAGGGATAGACATGGTCAGCAACAATACTCAGGTAGGCTGTGACATTGACACGGTGCTCAAATGGTACTAATTAGATTAGATTAGATTCAACTTTATTGTCATTACACATATACAAGTACAATGCAACGAAATGCAGTGTAGGTCTAACCAGCAGTGCAATAGCAGCAAGTGCAGGATAATTACAAATGTCCATGTGCAGTGGGTATGTACAGATCAAATAAGTGAATCACTGCAATGTAGTGCTATAAATATGTGCAAATGTTAAACAGTGCAATGATTGTGATGGGTATAAGTTAAAGGAGAGTGGGGGGTGTATTGGGGGGCAAAAGAGTCAGTGAGGGGCAGAAGGAAGACCGCTCTGGGGAAAAAGCTGTTCCTCAGTCTGCTGGTTTTTGTCCAGGGGGGCCTCAAGCGCCTGCCAGAAGGCAGGAGAGAAAACAGTCTGTGAGCAGGGTGAGAGGTGTTCCTAAGAATGCTGTGTTCTCTGCGCAGACAGCGTTACTTCAGGATGTCCTCTATGGCTGGCAGTGGTAGAAGTTCATCAAGACGGCTGATGAAAGCTGGTTCCTCTTAAGTTGCCTTAAGAAAAATAGGCGCTGGTGAGCCTTCTTGACCAGGCTGGAGGTGTTGGTGGTCCAGGAAAGATCCTTTGAGACGTGGGTCCCCAGGAACTTGAAGGATGAGACAGGCTCAACGGCCATCCAGGTCGATATCCAGGTCTCCAAGTTTGATTATTAATTTAGAGGGTATGAAAGCTGAAGTCGACAAACAGCATTCGTGCATAAGTGTTTTTATTGTCCAGGTGTGTGAGTACAGAATGCAGTGGTATGGAGACTGCATCTTATCTGCTCCTGTAGCCACAATAGACAAACTGATGTGGGTCCACTGTGGATGGCACAATGTTGTTTTTAGATGTGCCAGGACCAACCGCTCGAAGCACTTCATGATGATGGGTGTGAGTGCTACAGGGCGGTAGTCATTCAGGCATGTTGGGCTGGAATGTTTGGGCACTGGCGCAATAGAGATGGTTTTAAAGCAAGTTGGCACAGCTGCTAGGTTAGGCGACAGGTTGACAATGTCTGTGAATACCCCAGCGAGCTGTTCTACACAAGCTTTAAGGATGTGCCCAGGAATACCGTCTGGTCCAGCAGTCTTACGCACATTGATCCGACTCAGTGCGGTGTAGACTTCTGAGGAGGTGAGTGTGAAAGGTGAGTGGTCAGTTAAGGAAGTGATCCTGGTGTAGGGTTCTTTATTGTTTCTTTAAAAGCGGGCATAAAAGTAATTTAGCTCGTTCAGGAAGGATACATCTGTGAGTGTGGTCTGGCTGGGTTTGTTGTTGCTGATGGCCTGGATGCCCTGCCACATGCACTGAGGATCAGAGTTGGAAAAGTGCTCCTCTAGCTTAAGCTTGTAGCAGTGCTTGGCCTTTTTGATGCCCCTCTTCAGATTAACACTGGAAGTGCTGTAGGCCTGTGCGTCCCCTGATCTGAAGGCAGTGTTGCGTGCCTTCAGCAGGAGGCGCAACTCGTTGTTCATCCATGGCTTCTGATTCAGGTATGTGGTGATCTCCATCTGGGTTGTAACACTGTCTATGGTGGTGTTAATGTACTCCAGAACAGAGGAAGTGTTACTGCCAATGTCTGTGTGAGAGCCACAGGTGGCCTAGGAAGCAAACATACTCCAGTCTGTGTGTTGAAACCTGTCCTGGAGTGTGGAGTCTACCCCCACTGGCCACACTTTGAGGGTCTTCACTGATGGCTTCACATGGTTGATGAGAGGTGAGTACTTGGTGGTGAGTAATAAAGAAATATGATCTGATTGGTCCAAGTGGAGTATCCCACTGTTTAGCCACGTTTCTGTGAAAATCCTGACGTTACATTTCCATAATCTTTTGCTGTGGTTGATGCGCAGTCGAATCTCATTCATTTTGTTCACCGGTGACCGTACATTGGCGAGAAAAATGCTGGGTAAAGAGAGCTGGTGTGGTTTTAGCTTAGCTCTTAGCCCGCCGCGCTTCCCCCGTCTTTGTTTACGGTCTCGACGCTGCCTTTGAGCACTTCTGCCCGGCCGGGCAAGGTGCTCAGCCTCGGGTGTTCTGGCGATCTCAGGGATGAGTTGAAGATTGCTTATAAAACTGTCTGGAATGCAAAAATCAATATCCAAGATCTCCTGTCGGGTGTATGATGTAAAGGCACTACTATTCTGCATGAACAGACCCGAAATGAGCTGGAATAATACTGCAAAACTGCAGAAACTGGAGAGACACCGGGCGTCGCGATGTGTACGCACCGCCATCTTGTCGCATTTTAAAGATGGGTCCAAATGTGATCGAAGAAAATATTGCCTCCACAATTACAGCACCACCAGCAGCCTGAATCGTTGATACAAGGCAGGATGGATCCACGCTTTCATGTTGTTGATGCCAAATTTTGACGCCAAATTTTGACTGCCATGCAAATGTCACAGCAGAAATCGAGACGCATTAGACCAGGCAAGCATCCCATCCTCCTCAAGGTTTGACATGTTGTGTGTTTAGAGATGCTTTTCTGCATACCTCGGTTGTAACGAGTGGTTTTTGAGTTACTGTTTCCTTTTCATCAGCTCAAACCAGTCTGGCCATTTTTCTCTGACCTCTGGCTTCAAGACATTTGCACCCACAGAACAGCAGCTCACTGGATATTTTCTCTTTTTCTGACCATTCTCTGTAAACCCTATAGATGGTTGTGCATGAATATCCCAGTAGATCAGCAGTTTCTGAAATACTCAGACCAGCCTGTCTGGTACCATCAACCATGTCACATTCAAAGTCACTTAAATCACCTTTCTTGCACATTATGATGATGCTCAGTTTGAACTGCAGCAGATCGTCTTGACCATGTCTACATGCCTAATGCATTGAGTTGCTGCCATGTGATTGGCTGATTAGAAATTTGTGTTAAAAAGCAGTTGGACTGATGTACCTAATAAAGTGGCAGATGAGTGTACATACAGTGCTTAGAATAAATAATTTAATTATCCTCCACTTGTTGCAAACCGGCAATGTATTTTTATTTTTAATAGAGACCATTTTAGTGTATTGACTTTAGTTTTGGTCCTTCCTTCATCCCTTCCTTTAAAAACTGCCTAGGTGTACTAATACTGAATTGAAATGTTCACCTTAGAATTATTATGTCACTGGTAATGTTCATTTTGTGAATTAAGTCCCTGTACTGACACTCATGTGCTGTGCTAATGTAGGAATAGCTCTCAGTGTGGTGCCCATGTATCTGGGAGAAATTGCCCCAAAGAATCTTCGGGGTTTTCTGGGACTCGTACCCAGCATCTTCATTTGTATCGGAGTGTTTATTGCACAGATTCTGGGACTTCATGAGCTGTTGGGCAAGGTTAGTTACATTTGGTTTCATTTTCTAATGCTATGTTTTGTCTTTATAGTACAGAGACATTTAATGAAATATTTTGAACTTTTGTTGTAGTATCATCATTTGTCTTGTTAAAGGTGTAGTAGGTGATTGTCTTCAGAAGCATTTTTTGTTGTGCTGGTTGAAAGTCACTTCACAGTCTAATAGTGCGCGCGATCGGTAAAAACATGCTGAATAAAAACTTTTTAAAAAGCTGAATCAATATTGGTGTTACCTTTGCACGCTGGAGAAAGGATGACACTATGGGCTCTATTTTGACGGTCCATGCGCAGAGAGCAAAACGCAGGGCGCAAACGCTTTCAGGGCGTGTCAGGACGCGTTTTTGCTAATTTAAGGACGGGAAATCTGCCTTGCGCCAAGGCGCATGGTCTAAAAGGGTTGAGTTTATTTTCTTAATGAGTTATAGGTGTGTTTTGAGAATAAACCAATTAGAGTCTCATCTCCCATTCCCTTTAAGACCCAGCTGCGTCGCGCCAAGAGCGCTATTTACAGGATGCAAAGTAAGTCTAAGTGGAAAAAATTAGCATTTCACAAGCAAACAGTTGACAGTTTTTTTAACAGAAAACTGTTAAACAGAGCATCTACTGCGTGAGAATGAGAGATAAATGATCTACTTTCACTTTTGCTCTTGGATAGGGAAACCTTTACGCACAGACATCAATTAGATAAATAATTAATTTAGTTTGTTAAGCGCAAAGATTTGTTTCAAAACTATTTCTAAATTCAGTTCTAATTTCCAGCAAACGAATAAATGAACAATAATGACCAAGTGTGGTCAAAATACTGAGTTATTTGCAAATACACCTGCCATGCCCCATATGGTCTTCAACCTGACAGGTGGGCAAATCTAAGCTTGTTTTTAATAAAACATATGGATATATTAAATAATACTGCTAATAACAATAACATTATACAAAAGCAAATTGTTATGAATGAACTGAAAAAGCCTCCCGAGATAAAGAAGACATAAAAGCAGTGATTTTTCATATTTATTGGCTAGAAAATAATGTTTTGTAATATTTGAATCCTTTTTATTTATATCCTATATCTATTCTTATTTTATCCTATATATATCATTACTATTTAATTTTTTTCATATGTAAAGATATTTGCCTATTGCTCTCTTGTGCATATTAAGCAGTGCATAAGCGAGGCGCAACTCTGCGCTGGAGTTTAGACCGGGTTAGTTTTGGTCTAATGAAAAATCTATTTTAGTTTCTCAAAATAGCGACGCGCCAGCGGTCCGCCTCAGAACGCCTTCCTTTTTAGACCAGAACGCATATGGGCGCACAAATGAGCGCTAATGCATTTGCTATTTAAACAGGGTAGCGCAACACCTCAATACGACTCTTGCGCCAAGCTGAAACTACCAAAAGGCTATTGTGCCGCGTCTTGCGCCCCACTGCGCCGGGTGTATGATAGGGCCCTATGTCTGAAGAATTTCTCCTAGACAGGTAATGTTCTGTTTTAAAACTGTTTTAGCTTCACGCAAAGCTGATGTAACTTTAGATGTTGTTGTTAGAAATGGGTTATATCTTCACAGAAGTGTTATTCAGCTACTAAAATCTTTCGATGAAAGATTGATAAGACTGTTTTCAGTTTCATAAGAGACCTTTTACAGCATCGATGATGTAGATTTTAATTAGTTTAACAACAAAACACAAGTAAATACCGCTATTCTGCCTAGTCTCTCCCTATATTGTTTACCATGCAACTCTAAATATTTGCTCTGAAAAAGCATCTCAGTTTGGCTTGCATGCCGCCAGACAAGCACTAGTCGCTTTTAGCACATGAGAGAGGGTTAATTTGCGGTGCTCGTGTTTCAGGAGGCATGGCTCTAGATGGCAGGGGAGGGACTGTGATTCAGAGATTTATGATAAGCTGTTAGCATTGTGGAAGATCACCTACTGCACCTTTAAACAGTTTTGTTAAACTTTAATGTTGTCAGGTTAATCTTGTCATTATTATTCTGTTATTTCACACAGGAAGAGCATTGGCCTCTTTTCTTCTCTCTAGTCGTGGTTCCTACATTTATACAGCTCATGTTATTGCCATGGTTCCCGGAGAGTCCAAGATACCTGTTGATAGAAAAGAGGAACATCCATGCCACTATCACAGGTAAAACTCTGTACTCCATAGTTCACCATAAATTTAATATTATGGCTGCCCACCGAACTTTTCTGGATACCCACTAAGCATTTTTTGTTTTAAAGGTGCTGAAGTTTTTTTTTTTTTTCTTTTTCTTTTTTTGACTTTTCTGAAGCATAACAATACCATAATATGTTTGCAGCTATTTAAGAAACATGCCAAGTGAACATTCTTGTTTACCTGAAGAACAATGCTGAAGTTAGTTATTCTGCTTCGAAAATGTGAGTTACATGCCGGTTCTTTTAACCCGCCCACTGCCACTTTAGCCAATTACAGAACATTTCAGCACCCCGGTTGCTTTTTTGGAACAGCGTATTTCATTTCATTCATTCATTCATTCATTCACTCATTTAGAAAGGCTCTCAAAGCATGCGCACATGATGAAAATGTGACCTCTGATGAAAGGTTGCAGACTCTGAAATGAGACACAGATTCAGAGGTTCATATAAGGCTATTAATTAGCAAATAATATAAATATTACAAACATAAACATTAGGTGAGCAGGTTACATTGTAACCCTGTGTCCTAACAACATGCTATGTGACAAGATTTGCAGTGATAAGCAATTGGGCTGTTTGCACCAGATGAAACACGACATAAATTTAAATACAGCCATTAAGAAGCACAGAATATGCACTCACTCACGAAATGGTAAGATTTATAATCTAATTAATACATATTAAACCTCCTTAAATATAAATGCTGAATTAATCATACTAAAATAATAAGTGACAGAAGTTCACTCAAAAGTGAAAGTTCTTTCTGTCATTAATTACTAACATTCCTGTCATTCCTACTACTTTCAGAACATACATTTTGATATTTTACCATATGAAAATGCAATGCAATTATGAAAATTGTGAAATTAAAGCATTAGTGCTGAGATCACTGCGGAGCGGTGCATTCTTAACTAGTTACCAAATATGTTGCTCCATTTCTCGTCAATGTCTTCCATTTATCACTTTCTCTTTTGTATCTGGCCATTTTTGGAAATGCCTCTGCCATACCTGACTGACTAGCTGGGCTTTTGCGTTGAGAAGACAGGAGTTGATTATAGCCTATGTGGCTTTTTTTCCTCTCGCCGTCAATCACCACTGGCTTGTATGGTTCGGGATCCGTGGAGTTGCGTGTGGATGGATTTGCTCTACAGTGTTTGGACTCTCATCAGTGAATATTAAAACAAACTTAAACACTTAAAAAACCCTACAAAAAGCTTAATCCCAATTATTGGTTCACCTTCCTCGGTCGTCATGAATCCAAAATGTTCTCAGATGTAAGACTTTGTTTTCTAACAAGATTCATGGTTGAACTTGCTGAATCGCGTTCAATGTTATATTCTAACAGAAATGTAATACTTGGCAACATAATGGTAATTTGTGTTTAAAGTGTATGACGTCACATACTAACACTGGTGGCAATGGACAACCGCGGTGGCAATGGTGACGCAGTTGTCACGGTGACCGTCACAGCACTAAATAAATGTCATGTACAATGGCATTCAAACTCGCCTTATTAGCATTTAACACTGAATAAAGCACATGAGGTGTACCTGAGGTGATCATTTTGCAAGATATAGATGTTTCTTATATATCAATTCAAGGTGTTGGTCTTTTTAATATAGAAAAAAATCTATCATATTCTTTCCTTCTATCACATACTTTTGTTATTATTTTGAACACTTTATATCAGCCTTTGGGTTTAAATAAATAATGGATTTATTTTATCTTTTCCATGATGACATTTTTCAAGACACTTCTTTACAGCTTAAAGTAACATTTAAAGACTTAACTAGGTTAATTAGGTTAACTAGGCAAGTTCTTGTACAACGATGGTGTATTCTGTTAACTATCGAGGGAAAATTTAGCTTAAAGGGGCTAATAATTGTGTCCTTAAAATGGTATTTAAAAAATTAAAAATGGCTTTTCCTCTTGTCGAAATAAAACAAATGACTTTTTCCAGAATAAAAAAAAATAATTATCAGACATGCTGTGAAAATTTCCTTGCTCTGTTAAACATAATTTGGGAAAAATTTAAAAAAATAAGAAAACAATTTGAAGGGGGCTAATAATTCTAACTTCAACTGTATTTGTAGCCTTAGCCCATATAACAATTTGTGCAGCATTACTTCTCATTTATCCCTCCCAAATTATTCCACTAGTCTGTGCTGGAGGTGTGAACTTTTAACTTGTCTTTACAATTTACTTTCTCTTTTTTTCTGACAACATTCCAAAGTTATTATAATACTAAGTATTTAGGAAACCAAATTTTGATATTTGTGAACGAATGCAAATCTCCAGAAACTGAATTGAGTTATAAATAAGAATCAATTTCCCATATTTATACACACTAAATTTATAATCACTTTTGAGATTCTGAAGTGCAGATACGATAGATGCTTTTCTCTCCCTTGTGACCATGAGAGAGGATTTTCAAACACAGTGGTCACATGTGATTAACTTGTCACATGTAGTCACATGTGGTCAAGTCACAGGATGTAGTATGTATAGATTAGATTTATACAAAACATGTTCATATAATGTAGACTTTACTTATTAACAATCACAAAGTCATACTTTTCCTCAAAAAAACAATTACTCTGAGAGTTTTAAACCTGTGATTTTTCCAGGGTGTCTTTAATTTAGTTTCTTCTGGAATACAAAAGATCTTCTGCAAATAATAATATTTTGACTTATACAAAGTTGTTGTTTTACTTGAGTAATATGCTGCCTGGAATTTGTGATGAAACTTATTTTGTGGTTTTGTGTCTATGAGGCTTTTGTGTCTTAAAAAAAAGTTTAATTCCCATTCATTGTAAGTAATTGCATGAAAAACAGTGACCACTGCATCCTCTTATGCGTCAAGTTAAATAACAACAAACAAATAAAGAGAAAGCAAGCAAACTATTTTAAACCATCCTCCATGAAAAGAATTACTTCTTTATTAAGAAAAAAAATCTGCATGTTTCCTCTTCACTGCATTAAGGCTGAGGGAATTGTGTTGGCAGGATTAGTGGTCAGACGAGGAGACTTTCATAAGCTATTACTGCCTTTACTGTGATCACAAAGCTTCAGAAGCCACTACTACAAAGGCCCATCAGTCATTCAGCAGCTACCAGGCTGGAAAACTCTCTACAGTAAAGAATGTGTGACAGGATTAGAGGAGAGCAGCAGCAGACAAATCAATATATAATAATAATAATAATAATAATAATAATAATATTTTATATATATATATATATATATATATATATAATGTTTTTTTTTTTTTTTTTTCTTATTAAAAAGGATTCTAAGTATTGGGTAGAAAAGTTGAGTTGCTAGTTTAAGCATACTTTAAGATGTACCTGATGAATGAGATAAATTATTAAACAGTCACAAATCAAAGCCCACTATTAATTCTTCTAATGCTGTATGTTAGCCATAGTCAGAGGAGAAATAGAAGTAGTTGTTTTTTTCTTTGCACTTTAATGTACTCCACTACTACACATTTGAGTCTAGACTAGATCTACATCTAAGTGTCAATATCAATTCATATTCATCAAGTTTTGTTTGTAAAAAAATTTTTGAATTTGATGTATACTGTGAATTGAAGTTGCAAAAGTACCACAATTCTGTTGTTCTGATTCTAGTGTTCAATCATGATGTGGTGCCTCATTCCTCCTTAATGGTCTAGGTCCCTTTCGGAGTGGGCATTATATCTTTGTGAATTTCTCTGAGAAAAGACATGCCATACTTTTAAGTCAAAGGGTGCCCTATATCATACATGGTTTCCGCTACATTCATTCTTCCATGGCATTGACTTGTAATACTGCGCTCACAACATTTCTCAATTTGTCATTGAAATGCTGCCATGGGTAGTTGGTAGATTTGTGTAAAAGGTCTGCTGCCACAGCTGGAAAAAATTTTAGAGGAAACACTGTCATATACCCATCGCAATAAGGTTTAGCACGATTTGTTGCTATATTCAGACCAGCACTACCCTAGTCTTCTCCGCATTGTGCCAGGTTGTTTAAATAGCAAATTAATTTGCACTACTTTGTGGACTTTGTGAATGTTATAAAGGAGGTGTGTTAAGGCGCATTATTGGCATGTTGCTCTTCTAGGAAAATGAAATCGACTGCGCCATAAAAAATGACCAAATAAAGGCTGGTCTAAAATCCAGTGCAGAGCAAGTTAGTTATGAGCCAATGCAGGTTTAAACGCTTAATGCGTAAAAGGATGTACAGCAATTGACAAATATCTTTTACATTCAGAAAAAAAAAAAAAAAAAGATTAAAATGTTACTGTTAAGATTATTATTTGCTACAAATATATATATAAAAACACTACCTCCATGCTTTTTCAGTTTATTCATGACAGATTGCATTTTAATTATAATGTTCATGTTGTTGTTGTTGTTGTTGTTGTTGTTGTTGTTTTTATTAGCAGTATTATTCATTATATGCATATTTTTACTTGTTTTCAGGGCTCGAAATTGCGACCATTTTGGTTGCATATGCAACCGAAATTTTATCTATGCGACCTCAAAAAATATATTTGGGAGCATGTGTGCGACCAGTTTTTACTGCAAAATGTTCACCACATGCGCGGATTCGGGAGACATTTACGCAGAATGCATCTCTAAGCTCTTTGTGTGCACTTAAAACGTGAAACACAGCGCTCAGGAATGGTTTAAAACAGTTGTCATGTCAACTTGCTGCAGTAAACAAAGCCAAGTCCGTAATGATTGCCCCGCCTTTGCACTCTTCTTATTGGTCCACCACTGCTCTAGCGCTGAAATATCAGCTCTCAATCACTCAGTCAATGCCTTTTGGCTTGGGATGACTGAGAGAGCTACTACCGCGAATAAATTGTAAAACGCTAAAGATTAGAATGAAGATTACACTTGACTGATTTTGTTTTAGAAACCATGGCATCTAAAGTTACAAATAATGACACATCTTACTAGTGACCATGTGCTGAATGTTAATCCACCCTCTACACTTTTCGAAGAGTGGATAAAAGACTTCTGTTGGCTTCAAGTGCGCTATGAAAAGTCTGTGGGATGGAATTTTTAGGTAACTGTTTGCCACATCTAGTATGAGAGCTTCTGTTTAATCCTTCATATAATCGCCAGATGCTGTCCGCCGTGCTAGTGGCAGCTATATGTCAAATTTAACACCAGTACACCATCGCAAATGGGCTTGCACTGAGTAAACTAATATCGTTACTCATAAAAAGATCGGTATTGCAATTAACATGACGTATGCATATAATAAGGTGAAGTAAATGTCAAAAGCATCAGTGCAATATCAGAAAGCACCCTTGAGAACAGCACAGTTATAGTGCGTGCAGTGCCGGTGAGCGGTCCGTGTATGCTTTGGTCACTCAGTCACTCAAATGTATTTTCTTGTGATAATGGGATTTTGTTGAGACATATTTTCTTCACTCATGCATATATATTTTTTTTTGCATGTTAGTTTGATTAGTGTTTATTTCAAATGCAATAAATCTGTTTGTATAAAACTTGTAGTAACGATGCTTATAATTAGTGGGTGCGACTAAATTTTTTCTGATGCGCCTAAATTTTTATAGTTAAGAGCATTGGTGCTACCAAGCAAAAAGATTAATTTGGAGCCCTGGTTTTATAAAAACAAGCTTAGATTTTTCCATCTGTCGGGTTTTGGAAACTTATGCATCACTATATAGGACATAAGAATAGGACTTGTGTTCAGAAATAACTCAGTTTTTTGACCAACATTACATTTATTATTTATTCATTTTCTGGAAATTAGTTTTGAAACAAATCTTTGCACTTAAAAAAACTAAATTAAATATGTAGGCTAATGGATGTCTTCAGTGGAGTGCTTACAATATTGTCTCCCTGAGCCACGAAAGTAAAGGATTAAAGTAAAGAGTAACAGTGAAGAGAAAGTAAAAAGGCTGAATGGAGCAGGCTCGTTCTTTATCCTCGCGCAGATGGTCTGTTTAACTGTTTTCTCACTATAGTGAAGCATTCAGTTTTTCCCATTTAATTTTTTTCACTTACAAAGTCAGCCTTGTAAATAGCAAATAAGCCATGGCACGATGCAACTGACACTTAAAGGGAATGGGAGATAAGACTCTGATTGGTTTAATGCATGTTATGCTCAGAATACACACAACTCATTATTAGAATAAGCACAACCCTGTTAGACCATGTGCCACAGAGCAAACTGTATTTTTCCATCCTTAAAATGGCAAAAGTGAATTTGGACACCCTCTTAATGCTTTTGCGCCATGTGCTTTAGACTTTGTGCCTAAATCGTTTAAATAAAGCCCTAAATGTTCTGTACAGAACACATCCAGTGTTTTCCATCCAGAGTTTTTTCGAAAACACTAAATGTTTGGAAGTTTCACAATTTCCTCTTGCTCTTTAATCTGTGTGAACCGGAAGTTGCTAAAACTTTTATTTCAGTATGTTAATGAAACAAAATATTCAGTAGGGGCATAGCAAACTAACAGTATGTGGGATGAGGTAAGGAGTATTGTGGCTGAAGCTGTCAAACTGATGTCTACAGAGACGGACCACCTATCCAAACGCAGAAGCAAATGGTCAGACTTTGATTGAAGATTCCTAAATCAAACGTATTTCAGTGGATTAACTCGTTTGGATGAATCATTCACCTAAAAAAAAAAAAACAATGTACATTAGCAATAAAAAAAAAAAAAACATTGTAAATTTAGATTTCACATAGACATTAACAAAATGGCTGAGATAAATTTCATAATAAAGTATTACATTCTTATGGAATGTGATGATGTTGTATAATAACTGTTAAAATTGTGCACCTTTATTTAAAGTGTTTGGCATAAATCAACATCTCAGTAGAAAAGCATGGGGATCCAAATCATAATATGATTTTATGATGATACAGGACATTCATTCCACTGTTGTGGACAATGGAGCTAAAAGCACTTTAGAATACAGAAGAATTGAATACAGGGATATAAATTGTATTTTATTAATCCTATAAAAAGATATTTTTTTAACATCCTGCCAATTATTACTACTAGATGTTTTTTTTTTTTTTTCATTTCATGTTGTCACAAGAACGATTTCATGCGCACAATTAATACACTCTCATGGCCATTTTGCCCACATTGCATAAAGCAAAATCATAGTTGAAAACAATCTTTAAACAAAGATTGACACACAAAAATCCTTGAAACTAAAAACAATTGGTTGATTAAAAGCAAATGGCTTGTTTTTGGCAGTTTATGTCACTTTTTAAAAATTGAGCCCTGATGTTCACTACAGTTTACATTTGAGTAATACATGAATACAATTTTATATTTTTATGCTCCTAACAATGTGATGACATGAAAATAATTTCACTATATATATATATTTATTTATTTATTTTATATATATATATATATATATATATATATATATATATATATATATATATATATATATTTTTTTTTTTTTTTCTTCCTTGGCCTAGGCAGATAATGACTGTTATATTCTGATTCCTATTTTGTCAGCACTGAAGTGGTATCGTGCTAAGGGTAACATCCAGGCTGAGGTGGAGGAGATGCAGGAGGAACAGCGCTCTTTATCCTCAGTGGAGACTGTGTCAGTCTTGCAGCTCTTCAGGGATCCGTCTGTTCGCTGGCAGCTTGTCACAGTCATTGTTGTCAATGCTGGGATGCAGCTGTCTGGAATCGATGCGGTGTGTGGCTTTCTGTTTCTGTTGAGGACAGTGACTATAAACTGGCAAGATCATTATTTGAGATGATAATGCAACATTTGGTTTCCATTTCTAGATCTGGTTCTACACTAATGACATCTTTGAGAACGCTGGCATTCCTTTTGATCAGATTCAGTACACAACTGTAGGCACTGGAGCCATTGAGGTCATCGCTGGGCTCATAGGGGTGAGAACTCAACAACTGATTCTAAATACCTTAAATGTTGTCTATTGAGTACATACAATAGGTTTACGTTGGCTCTGTGCAGCATTGTAAACACACAACCATTGGCTACCATTTTGCTCTAGTATATACAGTATGTGGCCCTGGACCACAAAACACAAATTTGTGGGAATAGCCCAAATTCCAATTATTGATTTATATTTGATGACAAATTAATTATAATATTTAGTTAAAAGATCATCTTCCATTACAATTAGCATATTTTAATAATAAGAGCATAATAAGATAAGAGCTTAATAAGAGCATATTTTGTTCAATATCAAAGGCAAGTTTCTCAGTTAGTAGATTCTTTTTTTGAGCAACAGCAACCAAACAGTTAAACATATTCTTGTGGAATGCCCCATTTTTAATGTTCTCAGACAACAATTTTTATCTGGAGAAACTTTAAAGGAAATATTATTAAATGTGAATCCATCTAAAATTGTAGAATTTTTATCAAAAGGAAATCTTAAAAAACTGTTTTAGATTTTTATTTTATATATTATCATTATTATTATTATTATTATTTTTATTATTATTATTATTATTTATGTATTTTACCTTGTACATAATTTATTGCTGTTGATTACTTTTAATTGTTAGAATATTTTTATAATTATAGAAAATTGGTGTTTATTAAAAGTGATAAACTTTTTTAAAAGTGATAAACTATTTTCCTTTTGCTATGACATAGCCATAGAAGTTGAAATGGCAATAAAATTAAAACTCTCTCTCTTCTTTTTTGAACCCTTAGATTTCAGATTTTCAAATAGCTTAATCTCTGAAAAACATTGTCCTATCATAACAAACCATACATCAATGGAAAGCTCATTATTTAGCTTTTATATTGCGTATAAATCTCAATTTGTGAAAATGGATGTTTATGGCTTGTAATGGTCAGGTGCTGAGTAAAATGATCTATTCTGGAATGGCAAACTTATAACTGGCTTCTAATTAACACTGAATTATTTATAATCTCAATTCTCTAAATGTTTTCCAGTGTTTTGCTATCGAGCGAGTGGGTAGAAGGCCCTTGATGATTGGTGGTTTCACTTTCATGGGTCTGTGCTGTGCTGGAATCACCTTCTCTCTCTTATTAGAGGTAATTAAACCACAGACACTCATACTAATGCTGAATGTACAATAGCCCATACTGTGCGTGCGTGTGTGCATGCGTGCGTGCGTTATACACATACAAATATACACACATATAAATATACACACATATACAGTTGAAATCAGAATTATTAGCCCCCCTGAATTAGTGCCCCTGTTTATTTTTTTCCCCAATTTCTGTTTCTGTTTCATATGTATATGTGTGTATACATGTATGTTTCTTTGTTTGTGATTATGTATAAACAGTTGAAGTCAGAATAGTTCACTTTAAATAATCTAGTTAAACTTTTAATCATCACTTTAAGCTGTATAGAAGTGTCTTGAAAATATCTAGTCAAATATTATTTACTGTCATCATGGCAAAGATAAAATAAATCAGTTATAAGAAACGAATTTTTGAAACTTATGTTTAGAAATGTGTTGAAAACGTTTTCCCAATAGAAATTGGGAGAAAAAATTAACAGGGGGGCTAATAATTCTGATATTAGCTGTATATATGTGTGTGTGTGTATAATATATATATACATACACACACACACACATACACACACACACACACACACACATACAATTAATAGCTTCAAAGGGGAGCTAGGATTTTTATGTTTTAAAATGCTATTATGCTTCCCAACACTGCATTTATTTGACCAAAATACAATCTAAGCATTAATATCGTGACATGTGTTTGTGATTTTAGTTAGTAAAACTGATTTCTATTTTAATCTATTGTTATTTGCGAAGGCAAAGGTAAAATTCCAGCATCATTTATCCAGTCTATAGTGTTGTCCATGATTCTTCAGATATTATACTAATATGTTATGACTGTTACCCTTTTTCCGCAAGTCTTTGAGGACTAGACTGTTCAATAGAGCAGTCTTTATTTAAAATTGAGTTTTATGCACAAAAAATAAATGGAAAAAAGTATTTACTCTCATTTTGTTTAATACTTCCCTGTTAAATCATTGTATTTTTTATTCATTTAATTTTAATATTAATAAAAATGTACTGACATTACACATTTTAATTGTGTATACATTCATTTTGTTCTTTTGTCTGTGATTAGGCTCATTTATCCTTCATGCGGTACATCAGTGTGGCCTGTGTGGTGGGAATCATCGCTGGATTCTGCATAGGGCCTGGTGAGGAACACAATAAACAGGAATTTCTCTGTCATATTCCTGTATTTCAAAGTTTATTCCTGTACTCTAGATATTTTAAAAGTTTTATATTAAGGATTAATATTAACATAATTTACTCTGAGTGACATGGTCTAGCAAATTTGTGTAATCCAGCACTAATTATGCTAATTCTAAAATGAAGCAATGAAAATTTCACACTAGCACCACCTTCTGGTGAAATTGTATTGCAATAAAACAAATCTGCTGAGTAAATGCTACAACATTTGTGTTGTTTTTTTAACATGATCAAGTATTGTACTTTTTTATTATTAATTTTAATATATCTTAATTATATGACTTTGATACTATCATGTGTTTGCTCCTGCACAGCTGGTGTCCCGTTCCTCATGACAGGAGAACTCTTTAAACAATCCTATCGACCCTCTGCCTACATTGTAGGAGGATCTCTCAACTGGATATCAAACTTCGCTGTAGGATTTGTCTTTCCATTCCTTCAGGCAAGTCTCTTTTACAGTAAACTTTGTGTATATTAAAAAAAAATTTCATTTATATATTGTTTACATTTTATCTATTATTTATTTTACCTTATGGTTTATTCCCAGGTTAAAATAAGATGTTTAGACATATCAAATAAGAAAATGCATTCTGATCCTAAAAGTTGACTTTACATGACCCATCATAAATGCTATTTTATTTTGCTGCAACAAGAAAAAGTGTAATCTACCCTAAAAAAAACAAAAAAAAACACAAGACCTATGAAAAACATTATTAAATATTCATTCATGAATTAATTTTTTTTGTATTTTGCAAAAACCCACATACTTTAATTATTTTTGATCCCTTGAAGCATTTCCTCTATTAGACTTCATAATTGATTATTTTGTACATTAATTGTTAGTATCCTCAGTCATTTATTATTATTTTTCCTGTTACTTTATCTTATTTTTTATTTACCTATTTAATTCTTTTATTTTTATCATTTAAAAATAATTAATTCACTCATTCACTATCCTTCGGCTTAGTGCTTGCATTGTCAGGGGTCACCTTTCCTGCAGCAAAATATTTATGTGACATTTCTGGACATTATTGTTTTGATTTATTATTATCATTTTCCATGTAATACTAGCTTTTTTAGACAAATGTTTTGACAATTTGAAACCAGTAAACCATGTGTGGATGGGAATTGTTAGTTTTTATTCATTCATTTTTCTTGCTTAGTCCCTTTTGTTTATCTGGGTTCTCAGAATGCAGAATGAACCACCAACTTATCCAGCATATGTTTTATACAGCGGATGCCCTTCCAGCTGCAACCCCCTTACTGGGAAATACACTCTCACATTCACACACCGTCTACGGCCTATTTAGTTTTTCAGTTAACACATAGCGCATGTCTTTGGACTGTGGGGAAACCGGAGCACCCAGAGGAATCCCATGTCAACGTGGGGAGAACATGCAAACTCCACACAGAAATGCCAACTGGCTGAGCCAGAACTCGAACCAGCAACCTTTTTGCTGTGAGGTGATAGTGCTAACCACTGAGCCACCGTAACGCAGTTGTTAGTTTTGTTAAATATTAAAAAAAAGAAAATCCTGCTATTCATTTTAATGTTGAATCATACATCATGTTATGTATACAGTTGAGGTCAGAATTATTAGCCCCCTTTTAAAATTGTTTTTGGGTTTTTATAATTGTTTCCAAATGATGTTTAACAGAGCAAGGAAATTTTCACAGTATGTCTGATAATGTTTTTTCTTCTGAAGAGTCTTATTTCTTTTCGGCTAGAATAAAAGCATTTATTCATTTTTTAAACACCATTTTAAGGACAAAATTATTAGCCCCTTTAAGCTAATTTTGTTTCGACATTGTACAAATTGTATAGAAGTGTCTTGAAAAATATCTAGTCAAATATTGTTTACTGTCATCATCGCAAAGATAAAACAAATCAGTTATTAGAAATCAGTAATTAAAACTATTGTAGCAGAAACAATATTCAACTGTATATACTTCTAACAGAATAAGATGTTAAATACTATATTTCATTTTTTTTAGATGTCAGCTGGTGCGTTCTGTTACCTGGTGTTTTGTGGTGTGTGTGTCGGTGTGGCAGCCTACGTCTTCTTCATCATCCCTGAAACGAAGAACAAAACCTTCTTGGAGATCAGTGAGCTGTTCGCCTTAAGAAATGCTTGTGAAATTGAAAACCAGTCGCTGGTAACCAGTGCCCAACTCGCTCTCAAAAAGATGAATGGTTATGGAGCACTGGTAACTGTAGTAGATGTGGACAAAAAGGAGAAGACAGAGACATAATAGTGAAGAAAGAGGGGAGTATTGCTTCAATGAGGACCAGAATTGACAGCATATATACAGGCTCTAATTTAATATTTTATTTAAAAAATAATAATAATAAGTGCAGACTGCTATGGTTGAATGCAATATAACTATCAGACTGAACATGATCAAACATTGCTATTAAAAAAAGATTAAATAAAGGTTTGTCTTTTGATTTGATGGACTATTGCAAAACAAGTTAAGTGATTTCTCTTTTTAGTGCTTAAAGTCAGTGTAAAATAAAAATGAACAATGTTGATTTTGCTAGCATACACTGTAATTCTTTAGCTGAACTATTATGCACTATTTTATCCACTGAAAAATCAAAGTCTGATCATTTGTGTTTGGAGTGGCAGTCCAGTTTTTTTACTTCGGTTTGATCTCTTCAATCATATTATTCTTAATCATGCCCCTTTTATCATTGGTTTGCTATGACGGAATGATGCCCAAAAAGAAAGCCCTGCCCCTTAATCAATATTTAGTTTCAGATGAAAGTTCTCCAACATACTGAAATGAAACTCTCAGCAACTTCAAGTTCATCGAGAGGGGTCTGGATGCAGTTGTTAGCTGAGCTTCATGCAATGCTTTTAAAGAGCCCATATTATACATGAAATAGGGTCATATCTTGGTTGTAAGAGTCTCCAACAACAGTCTAATATGCATGCAAGGTCAAAAAACACTTTCATGGTCTAAAAAATCTGCATTTATTTTTACCTAATTATCCCAGCGACTCCTGTATGAATCGTCCAGTGATTCATTTGTTCCCAAACCCCTCCTTAGCGCGGAGCTAATCTGCGCTGATTGGACCGATGACAGTCTGTCGCGATTGGTCGACTGCCTTCAGTCAGAGAGGGAAATGGCCAATAGCTAATCAGCAATTTAAAAAGTAATCACAGTTCATACACGCTCGATAGTGTAGGCGTGGATTTTAGCTGCCACACTATGGCGAGTGGATAGTGCTACGGATAACCGAACGAAGGAGACAGTCGTGTACTCGCCATACCACACACACACAAAAACACACACACACCTCCGGATGACAACGCTCCCGCTTCCGCCCGCACCCGCCAGGTTTTAGCCTGAGAACCCGCTCCGTTTTCTGCCCGCCGCGCCCGGTCCCGCTAGAGCGGAGAACACAACCAAAAATCACCCAGTATACAGTCCAGACAGCCACACAGCACAAAGCTCGTTCGTTCGTTCGCTCTCTCTCTCTCTCTCTCTCGCTCTCTCTCATACGCTCTCTCATACCAAGCAGACTCTCTCTTTCTAATTCACATAGCAATATCCGTGATATTGCTAGACAGCCCGCTCCCGTCCCAAATTAAACCCGTTACCGACCGCTCCCGCGATTTATTCGGAAATTTATTCCCGCGCCGCAGAAATCTGGCGCGGGGACAGCCGCGGGAATAAATTTCCGAATAAATCGCGGGAGCAGAACTCTAGCACGGAGCTCCATAAACAAACAGCACGCGTCGCGTTTTTAACGTGACTTTGCACGCGATAAGATAATATATCCAGTTAACCTGATACAGTACACGCGGTTACAAGTAACAAATCACAACTAAATACATTTGCAAGCTAGAGTAAACGAGGCAACAACTTTAACCGCACGTACTTACACTTGAGAAATGGAAGAAACCCATCCTGACGTCCATCAGTTACTCTTTACTGATCCTTCCTTTAACAAACTCAGATAAAGTATTCTTTGTAGCATGTAGCTTCCAGAAGTTTCCAACTGCTTGGTTATAATGCTGAGGTTTCATCTTTGGGTAGAGACTCAATATATCCATCTGCAGTGTGACTTCAATCAACCGGCATGTTTGTGTGTGTGTGTGTTTGTGGGTGTGTGTATGTGTGTGTATGTGTGTGTGTCTGGGTTTCTGCGTCAGAGGGCGGGGCCTCAGGTTTGAAATCTCCCGGGTTTGCGCGTGCACGTGAATAACTTGGTTACGTTCGTACGTCATGGCGAAACACCTAATGAATCGTGATCAAGGCGACTCGTTTGAAGCACTATGAGTCGACTCTTTTATAGATGAATCAACAGTTTTAAACACTGTACACTAACAGATTTAAGCCTTAGCTGGATACTTCACTTCACTTAGAGCTGTGTTACACACTACATGGAGGGGAATTTTCAAAAACCCATAATATGGGCTCTTTAATATGCTCACCTAACCTTAGACCTCACAGAAGCGTCACTGGTCCACTGAGTGCATTGTGTCTGACTGCATTTTTGAGAAACGCAGTCTCAGCTTGCACATCCAGGTCTGCTTACCGATACTATTGGGTTCATGCTGACTTTAAGTTAGCTAACGTTTTTAGTAGTACAACTAGCAGTTAGCTAACTGCTAAATAACAAACAGTCTAAACACAAAGTAATGTCTTTAGTCATGACTAAACTTTAGAAAGATTTGTTTATGGTTTTTAAAGAGTTTAATCAAATATTACCTTGTGAAACAGAAATCATGTGTCTTTCCAGATGACTGGAGTGTTAAAAAGTTATGTTATTAAATTTAAATGGCTATTTTTTTAAAGATATAATTGTATTATTTAACAATCATAAAATGTACCTAATAACCCCAAAGTTTTGAAAATAAGTGAACGCTTTCAAAGAGGTTTTTGTTATTATTATTATTATTTTTTTATTATTATTATTATTATTATTTTTTTTTTTTGCAAATGGTCTCTATGGGCAAATATAAATGTTATTAATTTTGTGTTTAACATTATTTTTGGGTTTTCTTATTCCTTTTATTATATAAAGCATGATTCATAGAAAATGACCAAAAACATAACCTCAAGTTATACTGTAATAATGTATCAAGTGCTATTATTTGCTTTATATTCTATTCATAATCTATTTTATGTTATAAGTCTATAATACTAATAATAATGCAAAGAAGAAAATTATTATTATATTATTATAATGTATTATCATTATGTATGTATGTATGTATGTATGTATGTATGTATGTATGTATGTATGTATGTATGTATGTAATATTATTAATATTATTACTATTATTATTTAAATTTAAGTATTTGTCTCCTAAATAGCCATAAGCTTAATTTTGATTGATTGTATTTAACTTTAGGGATAGTTAGGCCAAAAATTACAATATACCTACTATTTACTCATCCTCAAGTGGTTTAAAACCTTTATAAATGAATTTTTTCTGTTCATCAATAAAGCTTTTTAAAGAAGAAGAAAAATTAAAACCTTTAACCATTGATTTCCATAGTAGAAAAAAATCAGGTTTTCAGCATTTTTCAAAATGTTGTCTTAAGTGTTTAACAGAAGAAAGAAACCCATAAAGTTTTAAAGCCAATAAAGGCTGAATAATTGATGTCAGAATTTTCAGTTTTGGGTGAACTATCTCTTTAAGTCATATTAATTCTTATACTAATAGAGTGTTAACTTGCAATAGATAATTTGTGAAAAGCAATAAACCAGTGATTTCGGCTCGGTACATTGTTTACCAGATAACAGAAACAGAACAACAGTGCAGAGCGGTGGGTCCTCAGGACCAGCATTAAAAACCACTGCAATAAACTGTACACTAATGAATGTAAACTTATATTGTATACAAACATATTCTGTACTGTAATTCTCTATTATGTAACAGATGAAACATGTTATAAGCTGTTGTCACCGTTTCATGTCATGTGACTATGTATTTATACTCCGTGCATTTATAGAAGAGCACAGTCTGACATGTGCATGAATAAACAGCAGAGGGCGTCCAGGACACAAATATAAATGCAATTTAAATTAAAATCATTGTAATACAGGAGTTTTTTTTTTTATTTATGATTTACATTTTTTATAATAATTTATGCTTTTTTATTTCATTATCAGAACAAACCACTAGTTTTGTGACTTTGCTAATGAATCTAACTAGCCTAGTTAAAAAGCATTTAAATTGCGCTCAGTATAATCTCAATATATAGTATCTTGCAAAAAACAACTAGTAAAATATCAATAAGGGTTTTGTCTTAAACAGGATATATAATGGCTGTAATAACTAATCTTAGGAAAAACAAAACAAATTATTTGTTAATAAAAATTGAGTTTCTTTTTTTTGTGTGTTTTTTTTTATTTGGACTATATTCAAACTTAAAAAGTATAACCCTATGTAAGTATAACCCTGAGAACTGATTTTTTAAATTATTTTTTTAAGCTGTAAAAAGAAATTAATGACTTGAAAATACTTTAAAAAACGTAAAACTTAAAAAAAGAGTTAAAAAGAGTAAACCTGTTGCAACTTTTAACTGACAACTTCATTTATATAATTATGAACATAGTTATTTTACTTGATTATCTAAGCCAACAGGTTTACTAACTTTATTTTAAAACAGAAAGTTTTTTACATTGAATTCCAGCGTTATGGATGTGACATTTGCAGTAAAAATTCAAAGCGTAAATTCACAGAGAAAGTATATTTTGTATTGAAATGTCTATTTATATTTTCCAAAACAACTAACCAAAGAATTATAAGATCAGAAAGATACGTCTGTAAACATTTTTTAGATTTCAAATGAGGAAAATAAACATGCATTATGGATGTGACGTAAAAAGTTTTTGCGAGTTTACACTATAAAACATACTTTGTAGAAATTTTGTGAAATAAGCTGCACAACCCAAAATAATTGATGCTAATCAAAATTAGAAGAGTTGGCTCTCTATACAATAAACATGACTAATTGTATTTAATTTTACATTTTTGCATTTATGATGAATAGGGGGAAGAATTGTTTGCTCGTTTTTTTTTTTTTTTTTTTTTTTTTTTTTTTTGGTTTTCCGGGTCTTTTGGTGTTGTTGAACTCACTGGTGCAATTATGATTGTGACAGATGTGAAATTGGCACTTGTGTGACTTTGGTAAATCAAAAATAATAGTTTGAGAACATCGACAGAGACATTTTAAGTATTTTTAGAGTACTGTCAAATACTTGTCTACACAAAAATGTAGGAACGGTTTTGCTATTTTGGTTAAAACTTTGGTTAAAGTTTTCTTTTTTTTATGGCATTAACATTTGCACAGAATTGCTCGCATAATAATCTTTAAATTGTTTCCATAAAATCCTACTTTAAAATAACTGTATATAACCTTTTATAATATCTGTATAAAACAAAACAAAAAAACAGTATTTAAGAATGTTGTACTTTTTGCTTTTTTATCTTTTAAAC